AACCCTGCACAGGTACGCCGGGAGCGGGCCGAGGCGGCCCAGGGGGGCTGTGCCCCGGCCCTGCCGCTCACCGCGGCCCCGGCCCCTCTCTGTCCCCCCCAGGGTTACTACACCCGCCGCGGCGGCATCGGCGAGAGCGGGGACTTCATCACCTCGCCTGAAATAAGTCAGGTGTTCGGCGAGGTAACGCGGTTCCGTGTGTCCTGAGTGATTTTGCTTGTTTGTTTGTTTGTTTGTTTGTTTGTTTACCTTGTCCCCGCGGGACTGGCTGGGGTCCTGGTGGACAACAAGCTGTCCCTGGGCCAGCAGTGTGCCCCAGTGGCCTACAGGGTCAATGCTATCCTAGGATGCATCAGGAAGAGCATTACCAGCAGGTCAAGGGGAGGTGATCCTGCCCCCTTCTCTGTTCTGATGAGGCTGCATCTGGAGTGCTGTGTCCAGATCTGGGCTCCTCAGTACAGGAGAGGCATGGAGCTCCTGGTGTCAGTCCAGTGGAGGGCAACAAAGATAATTAAGGAACTGGAGCATCTCTTTTATGAGGAAAGGCTGAGAGACCTGGGCCTGTTCAGCCTCTTCCTTAAAAAGAGACAACAGAGGGGACTTATCAATGTCTATAACTATCTGAAGGGAGGGTATCAAGAGGATGGAGCCAGGCTCTTCTCAGTTGTGCCAAGCCATAGGACAAGAGGCAAAGAACTGTATGGACACAATCCTGTGCCATGTGCTGTAGGAGGACCCTGCTTGAGCAGGGAAGTTGGACTAGATGTGGTCACTTCCAGCTTTACACATTCTGTGATTTCCAGGCCAGTGTTCTGGTACCTTACCAATGTCAAAATACTTGGGTAGCAATAATAAGATTCAAGTTATTTCCCAAAATCAAAATTGATTCTGAGGGAGGAAGGGGTGTTTTACTGAAAGTCCTTTCATGTGTATAGTCTGAAACACGGTCTGTGATTATTAACGCTTACTTTCATATGGAACTTGTTTATAAATAAAGAGAGTTATGGTGGTTTCCCACTGTGACAATTCTCCTCAAAAATAATTTCTAGAGCTCGGTCTGGCTGACTCTGGTTTGTGTTTCGTTTTCAGTAGTGAAGATGCACTGACTGCTGTTCTTGTTAACACTTTGGTAAATGCACTGTTGTGAAGAACAGTTGTTCAGAGGCACCTGGGCAGTGACCTGCATTTGAGCCTTAAGTAAAAGTTCAGCCAGAGCAGAGTCCCCACATTTACTGACGGAGAGTTGCTTCTGTTGGGCTGACAGCAATCAATCATCAATTTAATTATTTAAAGAGAAGAGTATGAAGTTATGTATCATTATTATTCTTAACTTTGAAATGTGGAGAGAGAATGTGGCTGTATTATCTTAGTTATTATCAAACAAAAGGCAGGTATCACTTTCCACAAGTTCTGAAGTTACTGCTGTAAACCCTTTGTGTTGTTTCTCACTGACAGTTAATAGGAATATGGTATATTAGTGAATGGATGGCCATGGGCAAACCTAACACCTTCCAGCTGGTGGAACTGGGCCCAGGGAGGGGCACCCTTACAGAGGATATATTACGGGTAGGTGAAAACTGTTCATATTTTTGTTTCTGGCTTTATTCCCTGGCTGCTGTGATATCTGAAGGAATGATGTTTTGCTGTCAGGGTATAACCTTCCCTAGTAACCAAATCACTTCAGTCAGGTTTGCAGCTCAGACTCAAATTGAAATAGATGTGTGTTTCTGAGACAGCAGGTCTCTCATTCAGAAGCGGAACACAGGCCATTGTGCACCCACTGCATGGACATGTGTGTGATCTTCCAAACACCACTTGATAGAAGGGGAGGGCAGGAATATTCCATTACAAATTACCTATGAGCAGGAAAGCATTATCCAAACTGGAAAGCATTTAGGAGCTGTGTGTAACTGGGATGGAAGCCTCAATGCAAGGAATAGGAAGAAGGGAGGGAGAACAGTAACATAGGAGTGAAATTGTATTAGTTCTTTTGGGGATTTTAGGGGTTTACTTCTTTTGAATTAACCCTTTGTGTTCAGTTATGCTTGCATAGCTGTCAATTAAAATACTGCTGATTCATAAACAGATCACTAATGGGATTTAGCACCTCAGAAGAACTTTTATTTTATTTACATATGTTAATTAATAATAAGAACAGTGGGATATTGAACACTTGTTTATGGTGTCAGTGAAAACTGAACCATTTTTCTCCTAATGTTAAATTCTCTGCAGATCTTAGAGGAGCTGCTATTACTGTTCCAATTAGCACTTCATGTTGTCCTTACAGCCTGTAATATGTCTTCTGCCAACTTTACTAGAAGCATAGCAGCTTTTATTAAAATATATGAAGAAATTCCCACTTCACTTCCTTCTGAATGCAGTCTATTTCACTGAGGCTGTTTTATTAAACAGAAAGCCAAATAAATTTTTTATCTTGACTGTCAATAATGAGATGAAAGGTTAATACTTAAGCCTTTAATGTACACTGCACAAGACTGTGGCTAATAGAACTGATCTGCCTTTATAGGTCTTCAACCAGCTCTCCTCTGTACTTAGTAAATGTGATGTCTCTGTTCACCTGGTAGAAGTCAGTCCCAAACTTGGTGAGATCCAAGCACGGATGCTGACAGGAGGGAAGATGCAACCAAGTCCCAAGGACGAGTCTGCTTACATGAAAGGCATTAGCAAGACTGGAATTCCCATTTTTTGGTATAGAGACATTCAAGATGTGCCGTCAGGTAAGGAGCTTGAACACCTCATTAAAGGGATGGTGTCCTTCCTTCATATGCAGCTTTTGATAACGGAGGGCATCTCTTCTATCCTTCACACTGGACAGAAAAGTCGTTAAAAATACATATCTGCTCTTACTTGTACAAGCCTGAGGCAGGATATTGACTCATTTTCATAACTGCAACATAGCCCACCTACCTTCATTTGGGGATAGCTATCCAATTTCATTTTCTGGCTTTTTCTTTTCATAGAAAACTATTCACTGGCTTTGCCTGAATTTCCTTTCATGATACAGTGATCTAAAATTCATGGACTGGAAACTAGAACTAACTGTAGAAATACTGTCTTTGATGTATCCAAGCTGGAAGTAATTATTTCACAACCACATTAATTAGCTTAATTCATTAAAAATCATTAAAAAAATTAATTTGCAACTGGAAGCTGCTACAGAAGCATAAATAATTTAATGCATTCTTTTTTTACCTTCCCCCAGGTTACAGCTTTTACCTAGCACATGAGTTCTTTGATGCCTTGCCAATACATAAATTTCAGGTATAGCAAGATTATTATTGTAATTGTGACCATCTGCTCAAACACTTTTTCCCTTTGAGGAAGAACAGAATTAGGGTGCCAAATTAGACATGTGTACTGTCTCTGCTGATAAAATGGAATGCTGATGAATGGAAAAACTTGTAGAAAGCTAAGGATTTCTTTCTGCTGAAATAATGCTGAAAGTGTTGGGTTTTTTATTTCTGATGTTACATTAGCGAAGTTATTAATTTCCACATGATTTTCTCTAGCACTACTAACAAAAGGCTGAAGGACTTTCATTTAAATGGCAGTGAGAGTAGCTAATAGAGGCTGGTTATGATACAGAAGAAATTAGTTTATGAAAAATCTCTGGTAGAATGAATTATTTTATTTTGATAAGTTAAATGTTGCACTGTCAATAGAAGAGGCAACATTTTTCTTCAGAGCATCATTCATTCCTTTTAAGTGTCATTAAACCTGTATTTGTTGGCTCTGCAGATGAGACTCTTACCACAAGCTTTTTCTAAAGCAGTTACTGGAATTAAATAGAATGAGTAATTGGTTTTAATAGCATATTGTGTTCTTAAAACATTTCTGAAAATGCTTGACATATTAGTTCAATCAAATAAACAAGATGCTGTGGTACCCATTAGAATGTAAAATGAGTACTTTGGGCTTGTTAAACAGAGAACTGAGAAAGGCTGGCGGGAAGTGTTGGTTGATATAGATCCAGAAGTTCCTGACCAGCTGCGGTTT